CGTTTAGAAACCAGAAATATGTCCAAGGCGGAAGCCGGTTTCGCCAGCGACTGTAACACTGTGAATAATGCGATGCATTCTAACACGAAGGAACGATAACGTTACATCAGTCTTTGACATTAGATGATGTTGATTTCCAAGAATTCCTTCTCGGCTGACCCACTTCTGAGTGGCCCCGGCATGGAGGGCTCGCTGTGGACTACTCTTGTTGGCGATAAGCGCCTGTTTTTGCCTCTATAACCGGGATTCCGCCAGTCTTACCCCGCTCCTCCTAGATACCATCCTGGGCTACTTCTTTCCGCACTCTCGTATCCATTTATTCACTAACACTGAGGCCCCTCTCTACCGAGAGCTGAATCGCGCCCTCCTGAAACTGCTGAGACTGTGTGGCACGTTCCTCTGGCTCCAGTGCGAGGTCTTCAACTTCTGCATAGTATTGTTGCTGTAGTGACTTTGGAGCCAACTGGCCTGGGATGTGGCCAGGAGTCTGGGATGTCAGCTGTATTCATAGTAAGATACAAGTTACTTACTAAACTGAGAAGCGACGGCTATATGAGCCTCTCTTGATTAATCTGATTCGTAAGGGTGAGACACTTTGCTTCGAGGGAGAAGCATTGATCTTCGAGTAACTATATATGATTGCCTTTCATACGCAGTTCTTCCGGCTTGCTCCCCTTCGAGGCGGATCTGAAGTGCAGTCACATCTGCCATTGCGCAATCCGGTGGTGCTTTATTCGGCTGTCAATGAATTTCTCCAGACCTTTAACAGTTAAATATACTCCCCAAGACACCAGTTGCTGTACTGTAACACATAATGGGGAGTAGTGATTACTATATTTTAGAACTCCATAGCAGTGTCGTCATCCCCAACCAACGGCTACCATAAGTTATTTATAGTTATCTACTGTCAGCCTAGAGATAACCCTGTGTTGTCCATCGCTGCTGATACCGCTGTTACCGTCTATACAGTAAATGAGGTATAAATGTCGGGAATACCTTTACCAGTCAGTGTTGCCGTCGTGAGGGGCGCTTCTCTCGCACGGGGGACAGCGTAAAGAATGGCGCTCTGTGAAACGGCACTGTGCCCAGCACGTACACTACATGCTCGCAATAGAGAGGGAATATAAATCCGAGACTTCAATGCTTTGAGAATAACCCGAGATGGATGGTGAAAGGGTGGATGTCTATTTGCAAGGGTGGGCGGGGCTGGGGTGGTGAGTTGCTGACCTAATAGGACTTTGCCTGAGGGGGGGTATAGTAAAAGGGGGGGGTGGTGTAAATTTCTTAGTGGGATATGCCCGTCCCCTTGCCAAAGGCCCGGCTCGATGGTGCCATCGCCCTGTCTGCGGCCACCAATGACTCAGGCAGACCTCTTAGGGCCGACGATAACCTCTACGGCACCCAAAGTACGGCAAGACACGCCAATTCTCCGGCTAGGGATCGCAAGCGCCCATACGTCCGTTCTTCCGGAAACCCCTGAGCTAGGGGTAAGTCACTGCGTGGTAGGAACTGATTTTGGCGGGTATTGGGAACCAACATCGGGCGCTTAGGGTTTACCGGGAAACTAAGGCAAGGATTTGCCGGTGACTGGGAACTAGCATCGGTACGCTTGAGGTTACTGGGAACTAAGGCAAAGGATTTGGCAGTTACTAGGAACCAGCGTAAAGCACCATCGGCGCTTGGGGTTACTAGGAACTGACATAAAGATTTGGGCAGTTACTGGTAACTAGCGTAGAATACCTGATGATTACCAGGACTTGCGTTTGGCATCACAGTTTGCCTAAGCACAGGCAAAACGGAGACAAGAGAATTCGGCTTATTCGCTGGGTTGAGTGGCACTTGAGGCTCGCATAGTTAGACGACAGGAGGTTGCAGGTGCAAGCTCACACGGGATGAAGGGGAGTGCCTTTTAGCTGACGGGCATTGCTCGGATGAAACAGATGTAGTGTCATTGGCTGTAGTGGGTTGAGCGGAGCTGCGTGCTTGACCCCCGGGAGTTGAAGCTCCCCGCGCTATGGAGGGCGCTGCTGCGGCATGACGGGTGTAGTGTTGTTGACTGCGGTTGGCTGGGGGGCGCCTCTTCGGGGCCGGGGGGTGGCGCTCCCCGTGCACTTCCAGCTTACACAGGTGGAACATGAGTACCGCTATGGTATTGCCCATGCAGCGTACCTTTCTGGTTCTGTCTCAGCGGGAGCACGATGTCACGATACCCGTTTGTAATCGCGGCGGTAAGGCGGTAAGGCGGCTGACGGTCCCTGCTGCGATCGCCACCCCGCACGCTTAAGCGCGCGCTGCCTGGACAGCCACCACAAGGGTGGGCCTTTGGCGCACAACCAACGGCCCACCCAATGACAGGCCGGGCGCAACTCCAGCAACAGAGGCCCGAAGAACTCGAAGCAAGAGACAACACCCTCAGAGGGGATGTGGTTAAATAGGCTCCGCTCGATCCCCGTGTTGGGCTGTCGGCATGCCTTCTTATGCACCCGTTTCACCCCTTTCTTTCTCAAGCCAGGGTTACATTCGCTCCATTTGCCGGTGTCTGCTCTCTTACCAGGATCACCATCGCATGCCCGGATCACGGCTCGCACCATGGGGACACAAGACGCTCTCACCTCCGGCAGCTGGCCCTGGGGCGAGTCCTTCGTCTCTAGCATCCTGGCTGACATGCACGAAACTCAGCCAGGAGCCCCGATGGACTTGAGTGACAGCGGCGGGGCCGTCACCGACAGCACGGAAGCTAACAACGCTGGCAGCGAGATCAGCGCTACGCTGATCGGCACGCATTATATGAATGATACACAGCCGAATGGCTCTTACCACCTTACCGGCAGCTTTTTCGGCCAGGCTTCGCCCCAACGCTGTAACCTCTTCTCTAGCGGCGAGGGCAACCCATTCCATGAAGTTATGAAGCTTACCACGATAATAAAGGCCCCTTCGCCAGTGATGGCCCACTCCATGATACCCTGTCTATGAATATATACGGAACCAATGTCGAGTAAGCATGCCTACGTAAAGTATAATACAAGAGCTAAACGGTTACAGGTTGCTTGAGCAACGGCTGCGTAGCGTCGAGCAAACCGTTCAGCATATATACCAAGTGACGGACTCCATTCAAAGAGCCATGAGGAAATGGTCGGAAATCGTAAATAAGAGCCTGCTGGAGATTGCGAAGGCTGTCGGTATACCTCTCCAGTACGGAAAGGGTATGGTTGGTCTACAACCGAGTTATGGCCCTGGGGCATCCATGAGCTTCACAACGTCAGTGGAGGAGCATGCGACACACTGAATCTACGGGGCGTAAAGGAGGCCGGTAGCCATATCCTAGCCGCGGGTCTGGGTGTAAGACTAGAGCATGTATGTAGAATTGTTTTCTTGAGAAAAGAGCCAGAGGAACGGTGAACGAACGAATTCCCTGAACCACCGTTTATCCAACAGTTTACCGGAATGGAGCTTCTATTAACAAGGCCGCAACTAGACTACCAACCCAGTTGCTTCCCCCCGCTCCCCCCCCTTTTTTTTTTCGCCAAGAATGCCGACGATTTGGCCTCTCCTAGCTACATCTAGTGTTCTGAAGACGAATAAAGAAAGGGACTCGGGAACGAACCCAATTGGACATCATTCAGTTCACGATTGCGGGTTTCTTGACGTTACCTTATTTTTCCATCATCCCGTTGCCGAGGCGTTTCAGATATCAGCACGCGTATCTGTCCTTAGTCGACCTAACCCCGACCCAGCACTGCCAAAGCCACCAACCATATTGTCCCGCCCCAACTTAGATTCCGAATGTCGATGTAAATGATTCAAAGTCGCTTTACAACGGACTCCTGAGGGTGATGTCCTCATCAAAACCTCGGAGAGAGAAAATGCTAAGCATAAAGATAACATTACTACGCTGATAAATCGGCCGGGGAATCCGATACAAGGCTCGCGGAGCAGCCGCTCACAAGGACGATCTCGAGGTAGGATGTAGGCTCTGGCATGAAAACTGGTATAGTACTTAAGGACCGGCAGAGATGTTTATATGATACCGCTCATGCTAACATTCTGACTGTCCTTGGGGATACGCAGTGCCCTAGCTTGCCTCCTTCATTCTGTTATACTGTCTGGGGTGGTAGTATATATTATCTAACAAAGTCGCCGCTCACAAGTATATATGACTAATTAGCAGAGGGATGTGAATAGTATTTTAATTTTGCCTTGTTAACCTATCAGTTGCCTGGAGATTGCATACAGACCCAGCAACCTCCACTCGTTGTACGTTTTAATATTTCCGTTGTGGCTCCCGATACGCCCACGGATCAATGGGCCTCTGAGGCGTCTCCCTTATTTCGCCCGACGACCTGCTAGAGTCTGATAGGCGCTTTTCCCGCCCAAGTAACCTTGGGCGTTCACTTGGATATCGCTGGTAAAGATCCTCCTGCAGGGCTTTGAACTCCTCCATTGAGGGAGGGCGGTCGGGCAATTCGCCGAGGTCTTGCCCTGGATCTGTCGGGCGGAAAGCATGAAGCTGGGTAAAGACTGTCCTCTGCTCGGCTAGGAAGATATCCCTTAAAGACTTCCTCTCCGGATCGCTATACACGTTAAAGAGATCACTCTGCTCAGCCAAGAACGACTGTATTGAAGGCGGCTTAGAACCTCCAGTAGCCTATCGAAAGTACTGCTGCTATACCGCCTTCTGCTGGTGTATATACTCGTCTCTACCGGGTTGGGTATCTGCTGGAGGGGTAGCGTTACTTGGGCGTACATCTCTCCTTTCTGTCAAGTTCCTACCTAGGGCAGAGGTTTCTGCTCCACGGAGCTTTACACTCGGCGGTACTGGACTCTCGGGAGAGTAACGTCCTTGGTTCGACGAAGATCGCGCACTACGTAAACCGGGATCTTGTCGTCTAGGCGGGCTAGGGTTAGGAGGGTTATGACGGAAGGATGGCGGTCCAAATGGAGGCCGGTCGTTGTAATGTGCTTCGCGGTGAATGTCGGGTGGCTGTGGTGGACCAAACGGCGGCCCATCATCGACTGTCTGGTTTTCAGAACCCGAACGCTGACTATTGTCCGCCCCGTATCGCCTTTGTCGTTTTGTTGGGCTCCCGGCTTCGGGAGATCGTCGCTTTGAGGGTACTACTGGTGGGATTCTAAAATGGGGTTTAGACTGGATATTTGGGTCATAAGTTGAGTCTGGAGGAGAAGGAGAAGGAGAAGAGGGGGACAGGGAGTAGGCTGGTTGCGGGGACAGTGGCGGACCATATGGGGCTTGCTCCCAGCTGGAGTTTGGTTGTGAACTAGGAGGTGGCCTTTCGAACGAGTTCGGTGGTAGTGGGGGGCTATGCGGAGCCTCTCCGCCGGAGTCTGGTTGTGTACCAGCAGGTGGTCCTGTGGACGGGCGAGGGGGCAATGGTGGGCCATGCGGGGCTTGCTCCCCGCTAGAGCCGATCTATGAACCACTTGGTCCTTTAAATGGTTGTGGAGGTAATGGTGGACCATGCGGTGCTTGCTCACTGCTGAGCCCTAGGTGTAAACCTCGTGGTCCTCTCGATAGGTGTGGGCGTAACGGCGGACCATATGGAGCTTGCTCCCTGCCGGAGCTTAATGCTTCAGGCGTGTTAGGGGATATTGGCCGACCATGCAGGGCTTGCTCATTACGGTGGGGCGATGAACCCGCCAGATGATTCATTGTGACGGTCAAGGGCTGGTTGGGCAGCCTGGTCCAACAGAGTACTGGGGAGAGTAGGGTAAAGGACTGTGCCCTCGTCAGCAGCTAGGAGTTTAGGATATAATCCTGTGGCCGGGTCAGTTGAATCCGGAAGATGGGAGGGCTGCTCTTCTGTCTGTTCTTCTCGCCTAGGAGAGTATCTTGGAGACGCCCCGTAACTGTCGGGGCTGTCCCGGTGCGTTGTAGAATGCCGTCGGCTATATCCCGAGGCATCGGACTGAGACTGGCTCCAATCGGACAGTCCTATATGCCAGGATTCGCCGGGAGACTGGGGGGGCCCAGAGCCTGGCGTTGTTTCTTCTGCCGGGCTGTATGAGATCCTCCCGAAGAATGCTGTTATAAAATCGGCTTGCACAAACAAAGAGGTGTCTTTGTCCTTCGCTGTGCCCAGGAGCGTGGGCAGGAATGATTCTGTCTCTAGATCGAGAAAAGATCGCATGGGCGGTTTCCCACCTCTCCACTTCCGATGATACTCGCTGACGACATATTTCCGAGGCCGGGAAGGTCTGCAGCTCTGGTCGACTCCGCGACGGACCTTTGACGTAGAGAACCCTAACCGGTTGGCTAAGGTATAGAAAAAAAAGAGAAAATAATCGTCGACCTCGGCAACAACCGCCCTCACCCCGCGTTTGTCTTGGAGTGGCTGTATATTCGATAGGTAAGGAAAATGCCGCAATGCGAAGAGGATCAGCTGCACGACGGCGATCTTGAAGTGGGTGGCGGCCAGGCGGTGAAAGCGCCCTTCCTTATGCTCGACAACCGCCCTTCTGTGGTCCCAGTGTGCGGCTAAGTTCTGGAATAACGTGTGGTGCTGAGTCTTCTCCCCGTCCTCCATCACATACCGCCTTAAAATGTCCATTGCGATCTCTAGGTAGTTCATGTTGGTATTGAACGTCGTCAGGCTCGTAATGATGCCTTCTAGAGATAAGATGTTGCGCAATATCGTATCCCTCGATGCGGGATCATGAACATTCCGAAAGATCAATCTCCCCTTTACCATGCGGGAAATCCGGATTCGATCTTCGGGAATCGAAGGGGCTAAAAACTCTAGCTTTTGGACGTCGTCAGAGTCTGCATAAAACCCAGGGACGTCCTTCGCGATCGCTGTCCATTGATTATATATGCGGGTAATGTAGTGTATCACAGGTTCAGGGCAATCTAGCCTTAACCACTTGTGCCAGTTGCCAAGTAGCATCCCACTCCGTAGGGCGGGGAGCGAGACCACCGCGTCCAGTGCGCTCAGGATTCTCTGGTGCTTGTACCGAGGCGAACCCCCGTCGGCTATGATTCGTGTGAGCATATCCAAGTTTTTCGCCTTGCTCCCCGATAGCTGCGTCCAGGGCGGGTCGGTGTCCTTGCCGCATCGATATTCGTAACACCGCAGTATCCAGTAAACCTCTCCATCTGGCTGCTGTGTTTGGTGGAGAAAACCTCTGGTCTGGACATCTAGAAGGGGGTCATCGTCGTCTACAGCGTGTCAGCCCGTTTATCATAAAGCTCCGTCTCGTACCTACCTGTCGGATAGTATAGTCGAACAGTCCAGAAGTAACGCTTTCCAAACTCCCTGCTCGCCGCGGCAAGTCGGTGTTTACCCTGAATGCAAATGATAGACTTTGGAGGCAGGGAGACCTTGTGGTAGGTTGGCCTTCTTGTGACTGTCTCCTGGAGCTGCTGGCGGGAAAGGTTCAAAGCTGTAAGGATCTTATAGTATGTCCTGAAGTCGACCAGCCCTTTGACGTGATGCTCCCACTTCTTCGGCCGACACCTAACTCGCTGAAAAAGATGCGCCAGCTTGTCGACAGTTGCACTGTTCAGGTCCCTCCCAACGCCGGGCAAGAAATTGAAGGCATCGATGGGCACCTGAATGATACCGATTGGTTTCCTCATCTCGGCGGTGTCCTAATGCGTTAGAGTCATTGAAATTGGGAGCTTTTGGAGCGATAGAGGTGGATTGCTCAGCTACTGATGGCTAATGTTGCTATGTAGGTCACCACCAGGTCCGCTCAGGCGGCAGCCAACCGTCAGCCAGGCTTCCGGCCACCCCTTACGATTTCCCGGTCCAGGGCCAGCCAACCGGCGTCAATTCAATTTCCGTCCTCCTCTCCATACCCGTCCGTGGGATCTGCGCTTGCCCGCAACCCCCGTTTCTTCTGGCCCGCAGCGGATCCTCTCGACTGCGCGTCAGCCAGAGCGTACCTTCGGCCCTACGATGTCTTCTTCATCTGCGGTCCGGGCCGCTGCCCGGCGAGGCCGGTACTGCACCTCCGCAAACTGCACAGCTGGCTTAACTTTTGCAGCCGTTTCCTTGCGAATGGCCGCGCTGAAGGTTGGATCGCCGCAAGCTGGGTCGATTCAGTTTAGATCTGGGGCGGGTGGGTGAGGATAACCGCTTACCAATGACAATGCAATTCTCGGACGGACAATCCAGCATCAGGTTTTCAAGATAGCGCCCGTGATTGTCTCCGAAGTACGACGTCCAGTAGCCTTCTTTCTCTTTAAACGGCAACTTCACGTCCTTCTTGTTCGTGCGCGACGGGTATAGAAGCCAAACGACGGTGTTCTTGCCTGTTTTTAGCAGATGCAGTGCCGGGGGGAAGAGCTACGTACGCTGTCTTGGTCCATGTCCTGCAGCTCCCGCAGCTTGTTGCCCACTAGATCTTGCTGGCCTACGTCATCTAGCACCCAGAGTAAATCCACCCGACGCTTTTCTCTTCGTGAACTCATGTGTTTATACCGGCCGACTTGGTGCCTAGCGAACGAGAGAAGACCCACAATGCCGGGTCCCCTCGCTGCGAGCACCATTGTGGTACATGCCGCAGCATTTATATCTTGCCCGTACGGTCCGTCTAGGAGAATCTCCTGGCCGCTCTTGGGTACGGACTTTGGTGTGCGACTGCCGTGCCATAAGATAAAGGTCATAACCTCTTCCTTCGATGAGCGATCGCCCGCCTCGGGACCCCACGCGAGCATAAGGGGGAGGCTATCGACAAATATATCGAAGTGTAGAGACCCGAAGCTGTACCGGCGTGGGAAATACACGTAAAAGTAGCACCCGGGGAAGGCCCAAACCCGAGAGTTGCAGCGCACGACGACCTCTGTGGATTCTGAATGGCTTCTGTCGCTCTTAATGCTTGCTGGCGTCCGGCGCCGCCGTACATACCGGTACCCAGTCCCCAAGATCCAGAGAGCGCCGCTCAAATAGACAGCCACTACGGCGGAGAGGCTTGCATCAGCAACGGGGCGAACCACGCCGATGTAGCCGGCCATGCCTACGACGCTAACGATAGCGAGGAGAAGATGGGCCAGCCACCAACCAGTAACCCCAACGATACGGCAGAGCCACCGGGACACAGGAGGGATGGAGGTCAAGAGCACCATCAAGAGCATCAATAGAAGCGACGAGGCAGCCTGTAACAGTTAACAACCATGCGCTCACAAGGTTTGGGTGCTTACAAGGTAGTCCCAAAGCGACGTGCGCAATTGGGTCCTCCTGAGAGCGAATCCGGCGTGCAGCAAACCTTCGGCAATCACGACAAATCCAACGGCACCATGGGCTATATGATGTGCATTTAGGCCGAAGTAATGAATGACAATATTTCTCCGCGCGCCGAGGAAGAGAGGTACCGAGTTGACAGCGGCCGCTACACCCGCCCACCTCTCCAAGTCGGCCCGTAGGAGCACCAAGACAACGCCATTGACAAGCAAATACAGTGAGAGGATAATAGCCCCAATCCAGGTGATGCCGGTGCTCCAAATTACGCGGTACTGGAAGCGGCGTTCCAGACGCCGGACCGCCCTAATGCGTCGGAGCAGTCTGTAGACGGGGTACAGAGCGATCGCGCCCAATACAGCGAGAGCAATTTCGATCGCCATAACTACGGAATTGGTTGGTAATTTGTTTATCAGCTACGTTATGCTCTTGTTCAATATTTATAGTCTGGTTACGGAAGCCGTTGTCCCGGATATAACCTCTAGAGTCCCGGCTTCTGTGGCTCTGCGCCACGATCCCGGCTACGTGTTGCACGGCCGCGGTTTCGGCTTCTGTCAACTATAAAATGTGAGAACCAGCTGCTGAAACTCAAATCGACTGCAGACCACCACCATCCAGACCACCTCCAGACCACCACCATCCAGACCACCATCCAGACCACCATCTTTCCCTACGTTAGCAAATTCCTATAGCCCTGCCGCCATGTCCAACCCCTCTGGGCCTTCCCAGGACTTGCTCGTTCGCAGGCTCCTAGCTGCGTTTGACAAACCAATACAAAACGCTAAGACGCACCCGGACCGCGACAAAATACACAAGCATCTCAAGAGCCTGTGTCCTGATCCAAGCGTACCACTTGATAAAAAAAGCGACCAAGACAACTTGAATAAGGTACAGATTCTGAAGGCCTGGGAAAAAGATGATCCCAAAGCGTTTAATAGTGCCATAGACAGACTTCTGGCCACCTATCCATTTCCGAAAGATGGCGACGCCGAGAAGCTAGACGACTTGGCACGGAAACTCTACGCATTCCAGGGAGATTACGAACCTCTCAATTGTTCTGATACAATAGCAGCGGCCATCAACGAAATAGCAGCGAAGCACCCCGAACCAATAGGATATCCAGACGAATGGGCAGAGGATAATTACGCCGGCGCTATCGCTGCTCTTAAGAGGTTCGCTGCAGAGTATAAGGGCAAGGAAACTGCTCCTCCCGGTGGTGATCCTCCCGGTGGTGATCCTCCCGGCGGTGATCCTCCCGGTGGCCCCAGTGACGACGCACCCGAAAAGCTATGGCCAAAATTCACGGCACTAGTCGACAATGGAACTATTAAAAAGGACAGCCCTCGGTGGAACATGACTAGAACGACTTGTGATCTCTATGGCTGCGACTGGGCCGATTTGAAGTTTAAGTTGGAATTTGAGCTAAGGCAGGGAACTAGCGCTGGAACTGACACGGACATGCACAACGCAGCCTCAAAGTTCCTGAGAGCATCTCCGGAGATTTTGAAGTTCATGGAGGAAGATTTCTGGGGCGACAAGGATATGTATACAATATACCAAGCCTATCGGGATCGATACCCTCGAATAGTGAAGTCGAGGGATTCCCGCATCATGGGGGCGTGCCAAAGCAGGACCCCCGCTAGAGACCAGGACACCATACCATCCAGGCCTAAAAAGGTCAACGTGAAAGACGGCTTCGACAAGATATATGTCAACGACCCAGACCAAGGCGGCAAGCGTGTGCTGGGGACAATAGTGTATGCCTGGACGGGTTGGCTCGACGTCAAAATGCCGAAAATCGAGGATAAGGACTCGGGCGAGAAGTTCTCTGCTGAGAGGTATAATCTCTTCCCGTAGAGTGCCCATCCTAAGGAAACGAGAGACTTTAGAGACGGCGCACCAGCAAAATGGCTGCAAAAGTCCGAAAAGGAGAGCCTTGAGGGCCTTGAGTTGAAGGATGTCACCATAAACCACTTCACCTACGCAAAGGCGCCAAAGCAAGACGAGAACAAGCGGAATCGGAACTGGCCGAGAGTGTTTGTTGTTGGATACATGAATAACAAGCCCAAGGACGAGCGTTTTATGACCGTTTGGGTCCGAAGCACTTTTAATGGCGGCTTTCGATCGGACAACATTGACGCAATCATGATTGAACAGAGAAAGCAGGATGGCTTGCCTCACCCAGGGTTACCACGTATAACCGACATTGAACCCGAGCCCGTCTCTGAGGCTGAGTCCGATAACTCGTTGCCATTTTAATGGCCGTTCGGCTACTTTTCGTACCATGTACTGATTGGGGTTGCTTTATTCTGTGCTTGGCTGTAATCTAGGGTGGACAAAAGAAATTCCCGATCCGAATGCGGGTATTGAAGACAGCGAGAATGACGGAAGCTAAGGCTCTGGTTAGGTGTGGGGGAAGCCGGTTTCAGAAAGATTCGAAGTTTCGCCCTCCCCTTCTCCCCTCCTCAAAACAAACTGGTGTGATTTTACCTACTTTCAAAGGCCGTATTGTTTCCCCTGTCTCTTCTAGTTGATTGATGTGTTTCGTTTTGCTTTTTTCATAGTCGAATGGGCAGAGATAGGATTAGGCCGGTCAGATTGTTTCATTGGGAAGGTGTCACGAGCTGAACCGCGGAGGGCGGCCCGTGGCGCATGCAGGTGGTGCGCGGGACGCACTGCCAACCAATCACTTATGTAACCAATCAGGAGGGGCTCGATGGGATCTCTGAGAGACCCACGAGAGCCAACATCAGGATCAATAAAGAAAGGACGAGAGCCAACAGGCTCGACGGGATCTCGATGAGAGCCACGAGATCCAGAGACTTCGGGACAAAGAAGTCGCTAAGTATATAGATAGCTAGCTAGTCACTCGTTGAGGGAGTCTGGGACTTCCTCAGTAAGCAATACAACTTGTTCGCTACACTTGCTCAGACAGTGAACATTGAGACCTGATCACGTATCTCGTTGTGAACCCTTTGGCTTCACCGTAACACAACCCTTACGTCATACCTTCAGTGAACCCTTTCAGAGTGTGGTTGAGAGACGTTCCGCCACACAAGCGTCAGAAAACCGCTCGGCAGTCTTGGGCTATACAAGCCAAAAGTGCATGTCTCGGTGATTGGACTGCTGAAAATAGCAGTCTTTTAACCCGCTGTTTTTAGAAGGCCAGTACACCCCCGACAAGTACATATGCCCTATCCTAAATGTACAGTACTTTGTCAGAGTCTGTGGGAATTGCGCAGTACCGGCCAGCTCAAGCCTCAAGCAGGCCCCAGCCTGGGCAAAGCTGACCGACACTGAGCTAAGACAGGTTGCGGTCGGCACCAATAACATCATCGTCGTCTCGACCAAACTGGATCCTCCCTCTAACGTACCGGCACCGCGTGAACCAGGAACGGATCTGGTGACGAGAACGCTCGCTGCTGCCGAGAGTAATAATCACCACCGAGACCCCGACACCCGGCTTCACGAGGTTAGGTTCTGTCCGCTCAGCGTACGTCAGTAGACAGCACTGACACTGGCGTCGAACGTGGGGACCTGCCTGATGGAACGCCGATCCTCAGCAAGAGACCCTAGGATGGGCTTTGGGAAAGCACCTAACCCAACCGGACAGCACCCAGCCACCTAATCGCTGCTCGCTGTTAGCCAGCCGGTTAGCACCAAAATTAAGTGGAGGAACAGGGCTTTCTCACCGGCAATGCGTGCCCGGCTCTGAAAGAGGATTACTTAACCTGTCTCAGTCCCCCTTCGTCCGGTCCCCAGCTTCTTCTCCTTTTATCTTCCCAGTCCGAAACAACTTAGCTTCCAATCATCTTCCCCCAAGAGCTAGTTACCTTACTGGACGCGATCGGGTATCCTGTCCATTTCCTTCTTCGTCCTGACGGAAGAGGTCGCTTTACCGGGACACGGACGTACGAATACTCCGGAGATGACAGAGACGATAGAGACAACACTGACGACGGGCCGGCCATTTTACTGAGCCTTAAAGTGATAAAGGCCATGATCCAGCAGCCGTGTAGACCGAGGGTGGGTTTGTTGCCTCTGTGGGGTTTGCTAAGTGACAGCTCAGCGCTCAACCAGTTCTGTAGAGGATTCAGTCCTGTATCAAGTGTCCCATCTAATTTTCCAACCTCCGAGCGAGCCGTATAGTTCTTTACTTGTATAGATTTTATATGAATAGGCGCTGTACCTAACCTTATACTGTGTTCCGATGTTTCCCCCTGGCGATCCTAACTGGAGAGGACGTAATACTGTCGTTCTGAGGGTGAAAAGATAGTTTTCCTTTCTTCAGCTGCAGAACACAACCTGCTCCGAATCGGCCGCCACAATCTTGGGTGGCGACAGGACTAATCTACGAATTTTCTAACTACATCATCATTCCGGTAGACATACTCCTCATTTTGACACACGGTATAACTATATATGTCGGTTTTCCAAGAAATAGCTATAAGTTATATCGTTAGCTAGTTCATTTTGAATAGTATGGTTATACAGAGTGCCAGTTGCCAACTCAGCAGGCCGTTAGACTGGCGTCACGTTATTTTATTTACTCCCCCTGAGCAAGGCTCCCCCACACTTCCGGGAATCAGAGGACAGTAGACTGGTTCAGGCAAAGCCGGAATTGCTCGAATCAGAAATTGGCTAAGATATTATTATTATATCTATGAGAAATGATAGTGCCAGCAACGCGTCGCAGGAACCGCCCCAGCCGCAAGGACGACGCATCATATTCCCTAGAACCGTCCGCCAAAAGTTCAAGAAGCGCTGAATTTCTTTGAAAGTAACATGGGAATGACTAGAGAAGTATCGGGCGTTATTGCGCAGCCGGATAACGCTCCAGTCCCGGACGGCAGGTTCAGTCGCGCAGAGGGCTGCTGGCCAAGGTGGGAACTCTCGCTACAACGTTGAAATGTCGCAGCTACGGAACGGCGGCAGCCCGGCTGAATCACCGATGGCAACCAATACGGGCCGGCCCCTATGTGCCGCGCCACTAGGCTGCCTTGGTTTTGGCTGTAGCTGTGGCAGCTTTCTTTCCTACATATTAATACGTCTTTTCCTCATATTAGATCCTATACAGGGGTAATCTCTCAATAGGATACTAGCTGAAGATACTAAAAATATAATGAAAACATACATTAACAGCTAATCTACGACGTATCAGGGTTCTAGAACTACAACCCCCTCGATTAGCATACGTTCAAGTTCCCGAATAAAGATGTCAACGCCCTCGAACCAATCCTCAACCGAATCTCTAAACGCTCCGATAACCAATGCTGCTTGTAGCGCCAGGAAGTGCCCTGTCTCAAGCTCGGTGGCGCCGAAGCGATCTTGCAGAGTACGCAGCACCGGCGAGAAGTTGAGATACTGTGAAAGCCACAGCGTCTGCTCTGCCGTTGCCCTCACTGTGACCGCAGATGGAGAGATTTCTGCACCCTGCCTTGCTCTCCAGCCGCCATTGCTATCCTTGAAGATTACTCCTCGGTAGGGGCTGGTTCTATATCCACACAATGTGATATCCTCTGATGCACACAGCTCTGGGATAATCCCGCTATCGTTCGTTTCTTGACGTATTTCTTGGAGGCACCATCGTAGGGCATGTATTCCTAGGTCAAACTTCAAGTCTCCTAGACCTCTCGCTTCGATAGCGGCAACCGCATTTGCAGCGGCTACAGCGAGGATCTGTGGAAACGACCAACACTTTGGGGATAGGGGAGATTCAGCTAGCTCCCAAAGAGTATCCTGGTTATCTCGTCGCGTTGCGAGCCATATCAGTTCTTTAGACCTTGCATCCGTCCTGAGAAATTCTAGGTGGTGGGACGCCGAAGAATACGTTCGAACAACGTCTGGAAGGCGTTCTGTATGCCTGAAGAGACTATTCCGACCGATCGCTAGCACACCATCGATGCAGGTACAAAGTAAAATATCGGGGGTTGGATCGTACAATAGCTCGGGAACCATTGTCGGCAAACGGATCTGTATGGAGATGACAGTGTATTTGGTGAATCGTTCTACATATTTAGACAAAGGGCAATAAATAGATGGAACTCCCAAAGCTCAGGCCAAGGAACGCCGAAACCTGGGCTAAATGTACCAAAGCCCGGGCTAAGGGACGCCGGGATCCAGGCGGCACCGAAAGGCCGGGCCTGGGGAACCGGGCTTACGGAGCGTGGCAGGGCACCGCTGTAACGCCCTGACTGGCGTCAGAAACGCGCCGCTACAAAGTCAGGGCTAAGGATATAACTTGAAAACGCTATTTAGATGCGGTAATAGTAGGCAAAGGCATCCCGCGGGCACCAGATGGACTGGTACAGACAGTAATCCCGTTTCAAACACCAAAAGTCACACTCGATCTCTCCATTTAGCCAGCAACTCTAGCCATATCCCCTCCCAGTATGTCTGTGGAACTAATAGTTACAATAGCGATCAGCAGCACAGCCCTGGTCGGCCTAGGAATAATCTAAATGTTCATTTACAGTCAAGGGGTCAGTAGGAGTCGCCAAATACACCGCAGCCAAAGAGCGTCCAGCCTACACGACAAAGCCTCTGAAGATGCCCAGCGCTACAATTCCGCTGCACAGGACCATACAGACCATTCCCCACCACCTCATGACTTCCAGCAGCCGTCGCAATACTGGCCCTTTAGCAATGCTGGGTTACCCCCTCGTACACACCAAAGCGACACAGGCTGGCTGGAGCATCAAGTAGTACCTAGTCGTGGGCAGCAGAGCCGTAGGCGCTTTGAGAGCAGCCAGCATGACGAGCCAAGGATCGTCTCGCCTGCCGAGAGCCATTACAGCCGCAGAGTGGAGCTCCCCAGTATGCCGACCCGAGTTCTGCCGTCATGGCAGCAGCGGACCGAAGAGTTACATTTTTGGCACCAACAAATGCCCGCATAGGGACAAAGCCACCCCCCTTCGTTGGATCCGGGCCGTGCGAACGCCCAGCCCGAAGCCCGGCTTCCTTACCCCGCAGCATCCCCCCCAAACGACAGAACTAGCGGAGGATAATGCTTTTCCTTTTGGGGTCATCAGCACTGTAGGTTGAGAGGCTAGGAATCAATACAGTATCGTCGGCCAATAGCGGTAACACGGCCTTGCTGGAGAGGGTCCTGACAGCCGTGTGCAATCAAGTAACTCCGAGCTCTACAGTCTCGTGTGACAAATCGTCTCAACCACACTCTGCAAGGGTTCACTGAAGGTAAGGTAACTGGGGTTGTGATTCGGTGAAGCCAAAAGGTTCACAACAAGATAATGATCTGGTCTCAATGTTCGTAGCAATTGATAGCAAACAAGTTGTATTGCTTACTGGAGAACTCCCAGAGTCCTCCAGAACGGGTGACTATATACCTATCTGAGTAAGGAACGTTCCTAAGTATCTTGTACCTTGATCGCAGCGATCGCTCAGCGATCCTGCGATCGTGGTGCCTGGTGTTTTGGTGATCCGTCAGTCGCTCCATCGATCCAGCGACCGCTCCCATGATGTTGCCTGATTGGTCCCTGCCTGCGGTGGCCCGTGCGTCGACCTCAACGTGTTGGGTGTCGGCTTGTGACATCTCGCCGGAACACAATTCCACTTCTCGCGATAGTTTTCCACCGCTTCTTGAAGTTCTCATTACCTCTGTCCCTTTTCCTTCGCTGCCTTAGGCCATGTGTGGCATATTCCGCCGGATCTGGTACCAGCTTCGTCTGTCCAGGCATCTACAACGCTAGCACATTCTGAGATGGCTGGAACGATGAAGCTGTCTACGGGATTCAGATAGTTTTATAAGAATATTAGCTGAAAATGATATGCTATGCTGATAGCCTCGACCAAGTCGATACGTTATCTGCCGTGTTTACTATAGATATATACCAGTAGTGCCAGGTAGTCACTTGGAGTAACGACTGCAGCTTCCGGAGCGTGTCTAGCGGTAAGTGTGAAGCAATCTCTACATACAGTCGCTAGCGAAATCGCCTTCCGCTTTGTACACTCGGTTCAACTGTCCGGGAATCCCTTTTTTGGCCCTCTTGGCGCTTACACCGTACCTGTCTCACGGTCGCATGTACTGTTCAGTAAAAGCCTGTCTTGCTTACGTAAGGCGTACCTGAACAATACACAACTTTACATACAGATTGAAAACACGTAATTTACAATACAAGAAAATACGTTTTGATCATTGTGGACCAAGAACATGATGCTTACTATTGATCAAAGTCATCTAATAACGCCAGTTCCCTACTTACCTTCTGGTATCGTTCGTGCTGGACGCCAAACACAGCCTTGACTCCAGCCTGACAACGCACATACAACACCCTAGCTTCAAAGATGTTGCGTAACTGAGTATATAGAATGGCGAGGTTCTGGATCGTATTGAGGGCCGGAGGATGAAAATTAACATCATGACCAAGCACCTTCTCGTAGCCTCGGATTGCCCGCTCGTACATAGCCTCGGCGTCGCTAAGCCGGCCCTGATTCATATAGAGGTTGCCGAGATTGTTGACCGTGTCTAGCGTCGACGTATGATCCGGTCCCAGCGCCTTCTCCTTACCTCGGAGTGCCCGCTCGTATATAGCCTCGGCGTCGCTAAGCCGGCCCTGATTCATATAGAGATTGCCGAGATTGTTAA